ACAACCTGCTCCCAGCGGCCGCGGGAAGCAACTTCGACTACATTTTTTTCACAGTACACTTACTTCTAAGAATGTCCTTCTCTGCTTATCCTATTTCCCCACCCCACAAAACTCTATAACCACCGTGTTTGCAGGACAAAATGCTGGGGCTAGGGATATATGAGTGGGGCTACATAAGCTACTTTTGCCTACTTACATAAACTACCAGCTTCCTGAGCCTACAAAACTATTTAACAAGAGTGTTTCGCTCCAAAACGGAGAGCCCAACAGGTTTGACTGAGCATAGCTATGCGCCAGTTTCTATTTGTGTGAGGATCTTGTGAAATTATTCACTACGTCAGCATGGTGATACAGGCCCTAATCGAAAAACACGGAAAACCTATCAACTAGATTCATGTCAAAAATCCTCGGATAGTTTTCACCATACTACAATATGAGGACAAAAAAAACTGACCACATTAAAACCGGTGGGAAATAAGTGAAAGATATGCAGAAACACCATGAGCTAGCACTTCAGTCAACTAATTTAAAGGAAAGTGGAGTGAGAAACTCTTATGACTAGGCCTGATATTCAGTCATAACACGAACCGTATGCAGCCCAAACAGCAACAGAGTAGAGAAGCACAAGAAGATCAGTCGCGAGAAAATGTACTAAAATTTGAACAAGTCAGGATGGCTAATATGCTGTCCAATCCATTTCAATAAGATTTTAGAACAACTGAACAACTTCTCGAAGACAATGGCTCACTCACATTCTGCAGGAGCAATGTGGCCGCAGCTCATACCGAGACTCTGTCGACAGCATGCTGTCAGCACGCAAGGGGAAACGCTCACGCGCGTTCCAGTGAGGTGGACTGACACAGTTGGGACTTGTGACATTTCCAACATAAATTATTTAGCCATTTGGAGAAAAAAGATAGCAAGGGTCGCCACGAACTGAAGAAAATCGATAATTCCCTTTTCTGGGAGTGTGAATGTAACGAGTGTGTTTAAAGCAACTCCAGGGACACCCAGTCCGTATGACCCCGTTACGGACTGACGTCTGGGGCGTTGAAGGTTTGGCCCGCAAGGATCTTGTACGCCTTCGTGAGTAAACTAGTAACTGTACTGGTTTCCTCCGGGAACTTTGGCTCCCTTATTACAGATTTGGATAACGAACAGGGTACTTCTGAAAGAATTTCTGCTGTTAGACTTTCGATAACTTCCTTGAAATATTTTAAAATAAGAAAAACCAACAGTTATAATAACTTGAAGCTGCTGCAATTGTCGACCCTAACAGGATGCAGGACTAGTAGCAGACAGTTTAATTCAAGTTATGGTTCGGAATGGAATATACTGGCAACAGGGCTTGATGTAAAAGGTTTACGAAGGAGTCCGACAAGGCCAAGCGACAGGGCGCAGCCAACGCTCTACCACTGAGCTACGAGGCTCACCGTGAGTAGTGAATTTAGTCACACTTGGGTCGATTTATTGGCCCAACCTACTGCTCGACTGGGATCTACCATTACGGATACAGTAAGCTGACTGCCCAGGCAGGATTTCCTAAGTATAATCTAGAATCCATCAGAATGACTACTAGGCTCACTTATTTATCATGAGGGTTTGGCAGACTTGAATAACTGTATCCGTAATGGTGGGGTCCATACGCGCAGTAGGTTGGGCGGGTAAATCGACCCAAGTGTTATTAAATTCACGGTTCATGGTGAGCCTCTTAGCTCAATGGTAGAGCGTTGGCTGTGCAAAAACCTTTCTTGTTGTGTGGATTCGACTCCCGCCGAGGCCACGAATTTTTCACAGTTGGATCAAGGGAATTTTTCAAGGCCAAGCCTGTCCCGAGGAAAGACGACAATTAGACGAAGCCTTGAAAGGCCGAGAGCAATAGTTGAAGCTGTCACTCACCAAAATGGTTACAAAACATGTAAAGAGCGTCCCTCAAATAACCGAAAGCGATAGTGCGAAAACGGCGTAATCAGCAGAAAAAAACGTCCGTGGCGTTTGCTAGGATTATGATTCTGACCTATGCGGCCAAAATGGTTTGCATGATGCCTGCTAATCCATGGTAATTAGCGGCAGCACATCGGACGGCGACAATGTATTCTTATTTTCGACGGTGGATATGGAAAACCAAAAAAAACCTGATAACTACGTAAAGGTCTTAAAAGCTAGTAAGGACGGTACAAGCAACGTCGACTCAGGCGGTTGCCTTGAGGGATGCTTAAGGCACCAAAACTTACCCAACATGACGAGGTACACATGAACCAGGGTAGGAAGCAGCTCCATTGCCAGTTGTTGAAGAGGAGGCTGTGAACTTTGAGCGAATTCATAAATGTGTCCGCAAACTGCCTGTGCTATATGCACAGCTTCCGCAGTAGCGACGGGGATAGCGAAGATTTCATAACAAAGATCCTGGATAGCCTCCAGGACCGCGGGGTTGGACTGATCCGGTGCTGACGCCTCAGCAGTTGTATGATCGCTGCGGTGCAGAAGAGGGTTGCGTTTCGAGGTTCCCCCGATGGAAGTGAACCACGTTTGTACGGGGTGGGGGATACGGAGACGCATAATCACAGCTAGGCGGGGTCTCTGGAGAAGGCACAGTAAGAAAAAAACAGCCAAACGGTCAGGTTATCATATTATTTATTGTAAGGCCATAGAGGAAGTGCAGTCATTTGTTTGTATAATATAACTATGAAATATTTAAAAGATGGCTGGAAGTGCATTCTAGTAATTCCAGCGACCATAGTTGATATAACATCACTTGAAAGCGTTTAATGGGTGAGGTCTATGAAAGCGGTTGACCATACACGACATGAAAAGCTACGCTAAGTATCTGCGTTTTCCATGGCAATGCTGTCAGGGAACAAGCGTCATAGTTTAATCATCCATAACATGCACTTTTGTCACAATTAGAGCATTCATACGTGCAACGAACGTTATTAGTTCGATCAACTTCACAGTAACTTGCACATGTTACTGGCTAATTATGCTCCGCCAACAAAGGTATGCACGAATATAGGTAATGTTGACTGTCACACATTTAAGTTGAGTACCCACTAGGATTAAAGTTGAGGATATGGAGATATTAGGGCAATGATTTATTGGGCGAGTTCAGCGCATTTGAGTAGTGTGATGTAAGCTGACGTAGGAAAAGACAGCTGTCTTCTATCTACTAAGAGCTTCGTTTTCAGGGAAAATTTAAATTTTGGCAATATGGCGTGCAGATTGAAGGCTGTGTTGAGGCTAAATTTTCATTAAGAAGGACAACTAAGAAACAGCAAGACGGTTAGCTGCTCCTCACATTTCAATCCTAGAGTTAGTAACAAAACCTGTGGCCAAAGTGGATCCATCATAACGTCCGCGAAGATACAGTTGTTTGCAAAGACTACTTTGTTGGGCGTCAGGCTGTCTTCAGCGGGTAAATTTGCAGATGACGTGCAAAAATAAAAGTGTTGTTCACTTCTATGGAAACAAGCAGGCTTGTCCGTTTAAATCCACAAAAATAATCTCCAAAAGGGGTTTTGAGGCGCGTTACTCAATTTCAGGTTGACGACAACTAGGAGCAGATGTGCTAATTGCATCTTGCCAGCTAAGCTTGATATATAGAGAAAGGCGGGAACACCGTATAAGTAAATCTGGTTAGGGTTTAAAATATAACGCCTGCAAGGCTGTGAATTTGGAAGGGGAAAACATGGACTTAAAGTGCGACAAAAAGGACAAATGCGCACGAACCATAGCTCATAGGGAAAACACAGCTTCCGAGCAAACTGCATCACCCAAGACCTCACTGGGTGGCACAGTCCAGCAGGGCAGCACCATCCAACGCGATGTATGACACATCTCTCCGCAATTGGCACTGGCTATTCAAGACGGTAACGACGACAGCTCTGCAGAAACTACTTCGGTCCTTGATTATTCAGGGTCGATACTACTACTTTAAAATACAGTGTACAAACGTGTTCCTTCCGATAAACGACTCAGTTTTTGACACCCTTGGACGGCTTTCTTCTTAAGAGACAGCAATAAAAAATATGAAGGAAACCGATCCCTGGATCAAGACTTTTACTAGCCTATTTGAACCATATTTGGTAACATATTAACTTCCCCTACGAATGGTGACGTCCTGTGCACAAATTACCCTTAGCTCATGGGAGTTGAATATGTTTATAAAACGCCAGTCCAATGAAAACTATATTTCTAGCCATCAAGACTCCTTTTCACAAGTGCTTCTTGTAAATTCCATGTTGAGTCACATCCAAAATTAGGCAATGTTCGACAGTGCTTTAAAAGCAATCATTGCTCCTAGTCCTGATAGTGACAATTCTGGCAGCCACTTAAATCTAATAAAAATTTGACCAAACGTGTAGAGAGACGCGTGATATCTGTTGAAGGATGTCATAGACGCAGGAAATATAGACTTTGTATATCGTTTTTTTCTAACTCCTGAGTCAATATATCCTTTTTGAGTTGTGGGCTGTGAAATGTATTCTCGGCAAGACCCCGTCTATGCGCATTAAATGTAAGAAGACAGATAGGTACGACTTCTCGAAATCTGTAACTATTACGTACTTGCTCACCCAAATATCCGTGAAGCCATAAAAACTAAAGACAATGGTCAAAAGACGATTTTTGTGCAAAGTTTATGGATTTCATTAAAATAATGTGACAACCAGTTGTGCATGATCGCAGGCAAAGTGTCGAGAAAATGCTGTAAAAAATACATATTGCAAGAGTACGTGCGTTTTCTAATTTTTATTTCCATCGTTCTCACAATTAATACTCGAGTTCGTGAAGTTAACAGACAAATTTTTACGTAAACGTGTCGGCGGCGAAAGCGCATGCGGTCCACAAATACATACATAGCCGAAGAAGCTAGTAGAAATATTCCTGAATGATATACAGGGTCGTTTATGATCACGTGGTTTAACTCGTACCCCGTCCTGGTGTAAATATACTGACCCATCGAGATGTTATTGAAAGCATGGATATGCTCACCAACAGGTCTCCTGAAAGTCGTAATAGTTGAACCATTGGATATTAGTAACGACAGAGTTAAGATATCTTACAATGGAAGGTCAACGAATGACCAGAAAAATTGATCGATAGACACAGGCGGGAAGTTGAAATAAGTAAGTTCAACTCAGTCAAGCAGAGCAAAAGCAATGGATGTCCTGAAAGTGTTTCACCTGCCAAGCAGTCGCGAATTCTGTTAATTATTTTAATGTGACTGCCTTTTATCAGCTAACGTATAGGAAGTACTCTAAACCTCAGAAGAGCGAAGCTGAATTGCAAGATATTAGTGTGACAAAAACTATAGAAGTTTGTTCAAAACTGAAAACTCAGAAAGCACAGGTAATTCAAGCCCACTCGAATCGGAACCACTAGCACTGCTTGCAAGTAGCAACCCTTGAAACACCAGCCCCTCCGGGCCCCGCCAT